CCCATTCAGGTCCCCTGAATTAAAAAAAATTTGTTTTAAATATATTTTTTTAAAGTTTATGTATTTTGAGAGCACCCTACAGTGCCCAAGCCGGGGGTTGGGCAGCAAGAGCTGGAGAGAGAGAATCCCAAGCAAGGTCTGTGCTGTCAGTGCAGAGCCCAATATGGGGCATGTTCCCTTGAACTGGGAGATCATGACCTGAGCCAAAACCGAAAGTCAGATGCTTAACCAACTGAGCCACCCAGAAACCTCAGAATTTTTAAACACCTTTAAGGATATTTGGAGTGCTTCCTATGTAAAAATCAGTTGGTGTTGGTAGTTAAAAAGTTGCCCCCAATATTTAGAAAAAAACAGTCACTATGTAAGTGAGAACTCTTTAGTCGGTAAGACCTTATCATCATCCACTTTCCAATATAGGAAAGTCCTCCATTTTATTTAACATTAAAAAAAAAAAAAGTACTGAGGCTTTTCCTTCAGAGCTCATTTAAAACTCCTATAAATGAAATACTTGTTTAACTAACAATAGATTTTTTCTCCCAAAGGGTAGCACTGGCCAGGTGACAGAACTGCTCGAGAAGAAAATGTGGTTTTTAAAACCTGGTTTACAGCAAGGTTTTAAAGATAAGGTTTTAGCCAAGAGATTCTAATCAAATGGTTATTCGAGCATGTCTTTATTTTAGTTTCATGCGTCTGTTTTAAAAGGACGATATTTTATGTTGTTACGGAAGCGAACAGGCACTATTTCCAAGGTAACAGCTATGTAGATAGCTATAATCGACATATTTCTTAAACCGTCAAATGGTCTTTAAAAGGTATTTTCATACTTTTTAAATCCCTCTTCAAATAGATTTGCCTCAGGCTTTTTAAAATCTATCTTTAGACTTAAATAGCAGAGCATACCCACACCAGTATCTGTGGACACTTGGAAATAAGTGACAATATCAGGCAAGTGCTTAGTTGGTTTGAAGGTACTATCTGAGTGTTTTCATAGTTGGAGGGAGCAAATTTCCAGAGAGACCCAGATGGATGCTGTTCCCTAGGGCTGCCCTACATGAATTGTTGTCATTATTAGTTGCTCAGCTCATAAATAGACTTTCCGGTATTTGTAAAGCATAACTGGAGTTAGTCAATTAAACAGAAAAGCTTTCTCGGAAATTCATTCTTTTGAGGGAATTAAGCAAGAGCTTGGTGTAACTACTCATTGAGACTTGAAGTTGGTTTATAGCTGCGATGCTGCTGAGACCAGGATGTCCCTGCCTAGCCCAGGTCCCTTGTCCCAGTGGGTGGATGGGGCAGCCCTAGGGAGCAGTATCCATTTGGGTCTCTGGGGTTGGGTGGTACACTCATCAGTATTTCATGTCTGTTCTTTCACTGCTGCCTACAGCCCAAGGTTGAACACATGGCCCTGCGGCCGAACTAGATGCCTGTGTATGTTCTCGGATCTTTATACAGTTCTGAGAAGAACCTAACACCTACCCCTTTTTCCTAGAGTTGATGTTCGAACAAACTCCTGTCCTTCTCCATCCCAGATAGCCCACTGTTTCCCAATGAGCCTCAAGAACCAAGACATAGAATTAAAACATGCTTTTAAAATTGCATATTCTTCAGACTAAACCTTTGTTGGGTTCTTTCCCAAATTATAGCGCAGGACCAGTGTGGGAGCTTCTAATTGAAGCAAGAGAAAGGGGCTTCAATGTTAAAGTATTCCTACTGTTTAATCTGATTTCACAGTTCCTTGTTTGGTTTTAATACATTCTCCTGGCCTTAGAAGTTAATAGATTTTTTTCGGAGGAAAAAACCCACTATTCATATTCACGGTTTCTGTGAATTAGACTCCTGAAACTGTGTAATAATGCATGTGGGAACTTCTACCCTTGACTCAAACATCTTGTAAATCCACTTCAGAAAGTATGTGAGCTAGGATAGTTAGTATTTTGTTTAGACATGACAGACTGAATGAATCTGTGATGTCTTTCAAATGTCAGCCAGCCTTTGGCTGCCAATTATTCCCCTGTGGAAATTTCTCAGCGCCAGTCTGACTGGGCACTTGACCCTTCCTCACATGTGCCTTTTCTCTCTGGCATCAGATCCCCCATCCCTCCTGTGCCCAAATGGTCTCTCCCCATCCCCCAGTCTCTCCTATTTTTGCCCCTCCCCATGTTCTCAGTTTTTGTGTGTGATGGTGACTTTCTGCCATCATCATTCAGGACCCACGAATCTTTAAACGAGGAGTTGCTGGACACAACGTTTGTATTTGGAGAAGATTCTGGCTTGTAGGAAGAATATGTTGGGATGCAGGTGTATCTCGAGGAAGGCATTCAAATTCTAGGCACCTGCAGTGACCTGAGGGAGCTTGGGTAGGCTTGAACGAGGGCAGCAGCATTCTGGTGATTAAGGACTGCTGGACCCCAACCATGGACAGAGCTTTGTAATTATTAGGGTAGGAAATGCTATCTAATACAAATTTGAGAAGTTGGGGTTCCCTGGGTGGCTCAATTGGCTGAGTGTCCGACTTTGGCTCAGGTCACAAGCTTACAGTTGGTGGGTGAGTTCAAGCCCCATATCTGCTATCAGTGCAGAGCCCGCTTCAGATCCGCTCTCTCCATTTCTCTCTCCCCCTCCCTGCTGTGCTCTCTCAAAAAAAAATTTACGCGGGACGGGGGGGCAGTTGGTGGGCGAGGGCTGTTTGGGCCGTGTCAAATTTGGAGTTTCCAGGGGAATACCCACAAGGAGGAAGATATGGAACAGTTAGTTGGCACTGTGGGTCCTCGGTGTGGAAGAGCATTAAGACTGGAGAGACAGGCTCAGTGGGGGGTAGTTGAAGCCACTGGCATGAAGGAGACTGTCCAGGGAACCAGTGTTAGAAAATATAAACGGTGAGGACACTGTCGTGGAAAACAGCAACAGGAAGGGGAGATGTGCAGGAAGATGGGCCCATGGAAGGGAAGCTGGCCTCAGAGAGGAGGTGTGGACCCTTCAATATCAAGGAGGACCAGGAGTGAAGCTGTACCCCTTCCAGCTACTAGATTTGGCAAGTAGGGTCCCCAGAAGGTACTGCAGGATGCAGTGTGGGGCCATTCCATACGTGGGTTGGAGGCAGGTCTGAGGAAGGATGACAGAAGGTGGTGTCCCTGGACCACTTGCCTGAGATGGGGCGGAGGGAGAGCCAGCTGGCCAGGGAGGTCACTAGGCATGGAAGGAACTTGAACATAGCTATGTGTTTAAGGGAGGGAGCCTGGGAACAGTAAGAGATTAAAGATACAAATTGCAGGAGTCTAGGTTAGGCTTAATGGAATCCTCTTACTCAGTTCCTTTATTGTTATGGATCAGAAAATTGATATCTAGTAAGGTTAAGAGGTTTGCCATGGGTCACACAGCTAATGAGGTGACAGAGTCAGATCTAAAGGGTCTCCTGACCCTAGCTCACTGTCTGTTCTGAAGCACCTCACATGCCAGGTAGCTGCTGGGTTATTGGCTCTTGTGTCTCATAACTGCTCTGCTTAGGGCTGCGTTTACGGTGGACTTCAGTCTCTGTGTCATGCTGCAGCTAGATAGAGCTTCCCCAGGAGAGCACTGCTCACTGCTCCCCACTGCTGTATGGGCTCTGGAGCCAGGCTGTCTGTGTGCAGATCCTGGCGTTGCCACTGACTAGCTCTGTGATCTTGTGTCCTGAGCCTCTGTTTCCCCTCTGTAAAATGGGTTGTAATAACCAAGTGGTTATTGGGAGAATTGAGTAAATTTTCATATATACTTTGTACATTGGAAGTGCTCCGTAAATGTTAAGTGCTCTTATTTAAAAAAAAAAAAAAAAAATAGTTTCCCATGCTTTCAGGATGAAGACCAAAATCTTCAACCAAGGATTTTGTATGAGTTATTCGTCCTTGCTTTCCCCTTGCGGTGTGTCCAATAGCTGTACTGGCTGATAGAGGAGTTCCCTGGATGTGTAGATACTTCCTAGCATGCTTTCCTGCCCTCTTAATAATGCACCACTTCAAACTTCCCTTCCCAAGAGAAGTCTTTCCTAATTTCTGCTGTGGGGCCCTGATTTAGTCATGGGTTTCTGTTGTTTAGTTCCTTTGGGATCCTCATCATCTTGTCATTAAGCTTTTAATTGTGGGGTTAATTGATTAGAGTTAGACTTCTATGCTAGATCATAAACCCAATGATCCATAAGAAGCTATTTGTTTTTGTTCCCAGCCCCATGCACCGTATTTTTTTGTTGCATATTTGGTGGTCAGTTAAGCATTGGTAAGTGAATGGATGAACTGGTCTATCTAGTTTCTTTAATTTTTAAATTTTTTTATGTTTGTTTATTTTTGAGAGAGAGAACACGAGTGGGGAAGGGGTAGAGAGGGAGGGAGACCCAGAATCTCAAGCAGGCTCCAGACTCTAAGCTGTCAGCACAGAGCCCGATGCCGGGCTCGAGCTCACAAACATGATGGAGATGTGAGGGAGTGATCTGGGCAAGTCCATGGAGAATGCAGGGCTAGACCTTGAGAGATGGGCCTCTCGGGATGAGCAGAGAGGAGAAACTCTAAATTCTAGGAAATTTGCATTACTCCATAAAGAAGACTATACCCGTCACCACTTATTCTGCTGTCTTCTCACCCAGCCCCTGGCTGCCGCTCAACGGACATTTCTTGTAAATAGAATCATGCGCTACAAGGTCTTTGTGTCTGGCTTCTTTCACTTGGCACGGTCTCCAGGTTTGTCCATGCTGTAGTGCAAATGAGGACTTGCTTCCTTTATGTTGTCAAGTAGTATTCCATTGTACGGAGCTTCTACGTTCGGTTTGTCCATTTATCAGCTGATCCATATTTACAGTGTTCCCAGTCTGGCTGCAATGAATAATGTAGTTATGGACTTGGATGTTCAATTTTTTGTGTGCACATGTGTTGGCAGGTCCCTTGGGTATGTACTGGAAAAGCTACTTTGAAAGAGTCAGAGCACCATAAAGTCAGAGATCTTGTGTTCAGTGTTCTTCTTGTGCTTGTTTCTAGTTCCCACTAGTGGCTGACTTGTTTCATGATGACAAGGACTCTGCTTCTGCCACCACTGCATCCGGGAAAGGCTCGTCCTCAAAGATCAACATTCGCTCCGCCAGACCCCCCTTGAAAGTCTCCAACAAGGAGCACAAGAAAACTGTGGGCCACCAGGTCAGCCTGTGTCAGGCAGCTGCGGGTAGGGGTGCGTGTGGCAGGGCAGGCCTCTCTGCAGATGAAGGTTGGAGGCAGAGTCAGAGGGAGGCTCGAGTAGCCTCAACATCTGCTCCGTATGTGCCCTTTGAAGAAGGAAACTGCGAAGCCCCCTCTAGAGGGAGCAGACACGAAAGAGGAAGGGAAGGGGTACAGTCCCAGCAGTGCATTTATTCCCTCTCTTAGGACCACACACACCTGGTAGAAGAGGTGAGAGGGTCTAGAATCTGCAGATTAGGGAGCAAGGGCTAGATAAGCCTGGCGGCTAGAAAACCGAGGCACGTTCTGTGTCTCTTTGTGGGATTTTTATGTCCAGTGTGTCTTGCAAAAGAAGGGAGTTCCTGCCAAGCCCCGGCAGCCACTCGCCTTTCTGCTGCAGAGGATTTGTCTGTTCTGAGCATCTCACTCTGCTGTAACAACTTCCAGGATGTCCAGGCACCGGATGTTGGAGCTCTAGGGCCACAAGTTTAGGAATCACCAGCCTCCAGTCATCATGATGACCTCTGTCCTATTTCCTATTATTGACCCGCCTTTCATCTCCTTTGATCTACCACGCTGAGTTAGACATGTCAGCAGGTGGGCTCTCCCTGTGCAGTTTGAGGAGCCCTAATGTCAGTGTGGGAGGGACTTGCTTTTGGATCTACAGCAAGGCAGGGGTGTCAGCTTAGAATCTGACCCTGAGTCTCTGAATTTCTTTTTGTCCTAAATTAATCATAACCATGACAATAACAGTATCAAGTACCACCACCAGTCTGTGGGTGTTTCTTAATGTCTGTTATACATGTACAAGATGTTAGAGGTAAATAAGCAGGTGCTGACTTATGTCTCCCCAGTTCCGTACCTCCCTGCATCTGCTCATGGAGACCCTGAATGCCACGACCCCACACTATGTTCGCTGCATCAAGCCAAATGACGAGAAGCTCCCTTTCCAGTAAGTGCCTGCATGGGTGGGGCCAGCCGCCTCTTGGTTGGAGTCAGGCCCATGAAGCCTGGCTTCTTCATGCTTCCTTACAAGTTCAGATGGAATGACAGGGACACAGCCTTGGTGGGGGGCGGGGGAGTCTGCAGCAGGATGAATAGTTCCTCTTACACTTCACAGATGGTTTCCATGCTGAATACAGGCCAACAGACATGTACCAAGCTCCACCTGTGTACTATCTAGCAGGATTCAACAGGATGAAGGGGTACCTCCCCTAATCCCACGGAGTCTACAGTGGTGTTGAGGAATTAGAGAACCGCATAAAAGCGTGTCCTTAAATGCAATGTGCCTGTGTCTCAGAGCAGACGTTCAGTTCCAAGGTGGGAGGGTAGCTGTAGTGGTCAGAGGAGACTTCTTCCATTGGGTGGGGAGACATGACCTCAGGTGACATGTCGAGTGGCGAGACATGAAGATTGTCCCGTTTCTCGCACACCTTCTACTACTGAGCTTCCAGTTATTCCTACCCGTTCTCCTCCTTCCACCCCACTCCTCAGCCTTCTCTGGCCTCGATTCTACTTCTACCCCTATCTTGGAAATTGTCTTCCAGCTTTATCCATGCCCACATGGTTGACCCCACCCGAATCTATGTAGCAGTGACTGTTCAGTATCTGTGTTCATCTCTGGTTTTTGCCAGATTCCAGACTAGTATTTCTGAATGCCTGCTGCATTTTCATTGGCTCACATCCAGCATGTCTGAAGCCAGACTCCTTGTCCCTCCAGATACGGTCCCTCTTGGTTTGGTTGCTTATGTAGCAAATGGCATAATCATTTCCTGACCACTCATTTACCTACCACCAAACCTCAGAGTCCTTCTGGACCAGTACTGTCTAATAGAACTTTCTATGATAGATGAAACTGTTCCATTATCTGCATTGTCCAGCATTGTAGCCACAAGTCATGTGTGGCGATTCTGTGCTTGGAACGTGGCTAGTATGACTGAGGAACTGAATTATGTCATTTTAGTTACATTCAAATGCCTGTAGCTGGCTGATGGCTACCATATTGAATAGCATAAACCTTGATTCTTTCCTCTTCCTTACTCCCCAGTGTCCAGTCATTGTCAAAGTCCCATAGAGTCTACGTGAAATTTTCTTAGATTGGTCTCCCTTTTCTCTTCCTTCTATCACCTTGTTTTAGACTCTGTTGCTTGCCTGATACACTCCCCCAAGCCTCTAGAACAGTCTGTCCCTTAATTCTGCAGCCTCATTCCATTGCCATGAGCCAGCACACAAGTTGTGTCCTCTGGCCAGAAGTATAATTCTAAATTTTTAAAGCACCTTAGTCCCAGATCTCTGACTTCTTTTTTGGACCTAGCATAATTTCTTTCTGTGAAATAATTATTTTGGCAACTCAGAGTGAGTATCTGAACTACGCCTTGCTGTTCCTATTATTTCGTAAAATTTGACCTGCGCTCAGATGGGCCTTGTGCTGGAAAAGGTCAGGAAGACAACATCGAGTCAGCCTTCCTTGAAGCACGCTGACTGTTGACGCTTCTCCTTTCCTCCAAATTTCCCAGAAGTGGTTAGGGATTCCTCCGGTGTGGCATCTGTTTACCAGCTGACTCGGGGAGAAGAGATACTGTTAGAAGGGCAGCATGCATGAAAGACTTTGATTATGTGTGAAGGGCAGGAGTGGTGTGCAGGGGCCCCAGAGATGAGAGTTGAGGGCTGGGCACCAGCTCTGCCTTCAACCAGCTGCAACCTTGGGCAGTTGGGTCCTCAGAACCTGGTGCCTGCCACGTGTGGGATTCTCTTTCTGGGCCTCCCCTCAGATGAGAGGAGATGCAGGGGCTTTCAGAATAAGTGTCTAGTCCTAACAGCCCATGTTTCTAAGACCTTCCTTTTCCTTCAGGACTGAAATCATCCTTTTAGTAAAGTGGGGAGACTACTGACCCAGGTCAGCGTACTTGGAGTTTAGACTCAAACCGATCATTTGGCTGATCCACAAGCTAGCCCTGTACTGTTGGCCTCATTTCTTCATCCGCTAATTGCGGTTAAAAATGATCATCTTGATTAAAAAATTCAAGGAGATAATATAGAATATTTGTGAGAAGGATAAAAAATTTTCATGGGAAAAACCTATAACATCATCTAAAATCTATGATGTTACTGACATTCTAGAAGGAGAGTTCTGTGGGCCTCCTCCCATCTTCTACGACTGCTTTCTCAACCTTGGCACCCTTGACATTTGGGGCCAGGTAATACCCTATTGTGGGGGGCTGTCCTATGCATTGTAGTTTGCTAGTATCCCCATCATTGTGACAACTAAAATGCTTTACAATGTTGCCAAATGTTCCTTGGAGGACAAACTCGCACCCCCAGTGGAGGGCAGCTGTCCTAGACTAAGTGCTTTGATAGCGTCTCTTGTAGAAAAGGCTTGTTCCCTCTGTTGTTTCCTTTACTTAAAAAAAAAAAAAATGATCATAACCACTTACTCGCTGGTCACCTAGCTAGGACAAGTGAAATGACAGTGAGACCTGTCCCTCATCCTTCAGGAGTTGCCAGTCACAGATCAGCGCCAGCAGCACAGAAATGGTCAGTGGGTGCGTGGAAGCGTTGTAGGAGCAGAGCAGCAAAAGGTGGTTAAGTGCAGGGAGGAGGTGGCCGGGGGGAGTGTGAGAAATCTGGGGTCGCTGGCTGGGGGAGCGCCAGTGCCCTGCTCTCAGCAGCGGACACTGCTGAGCGGCTCGGCTCAGGGTCCTCAGGTATGACTGTGCACGCTGCAGAGCCTGAAGGAAGTAACTTCTGATTCTGCTGAGGCTGCACTTTTATTGGGAGGAGAGAGGAAAACCCTGCATTTCAGCAGGTTCGACCCTGTAGGTCTTTGGTGATTTTTTTTCAGTCTGGAGTTAAGTGTCTCTTGCCCTCACTGTAGTCTTCCAAAATGTAGCAGGTGAGAGGGCGGGTTTTCCACTCCTGGTCCCCTGGTAACATGGGCCGTGAGGCTGGGGAAGAGATGCCTTTGACCGTGAGCTTTCTTGACTCCTGAAGAGAGAAGAGAAGATACAGAAGGCGGGCTGGCTGGCTTTACGGGCCCTCTGGGGCATGCGAACAGGGACAGGGGATGGCGGTATCTTCTTGGTGTAGCGCCTGCTTCCTTTCTAATAGTGTTCTTTCCTATCACTTATCACTGCAACAAACCAGCGAATTACAGTTGGGCAGGTATTCTCCGCGTCTGTCGGAGAAGTGAGGAAAAGGAGCTGCGGAGACATTGTGTGTTGCCTGGAGGGGCACTAGCTGTTGGTGGCTGTACCAGGTTTTTTCTGGTTTGCCCTTGCTCTTGGTCCCCATCCCACAGGGAAGAGAATGTTGCCAACTCTGGCAACCTGGAGGAAAGTGTGAGTGTGGGTAGAACCGCAGGTGGACCTCCAGCCACAAAGGATGAGGGGTTACGTGTGCTTGCCACGTGTGCTGCCCATCCCCCCCCCCACCCCCTGCAGATGGAAGCAGACCCTAACCTGGAGAACACGGATGCGGATAGCCTTGGGAGGGGAGGTGTGCAGGCCACAAAACCCCTCCCCGGGGTGCAGGCGCATTCACCGTGCGCAGAGATGAGAGAAGCAGATTCATAAACAGCAGAGCCTGTGTTGCAAGAAACCTTTCTGTCCCATGTTGCTGCTTAGACTCCTCACTACCACCCCATCTGTATTGGGTAAGGTTTTTCTTAGATCCCAGAACTGTGCTGCGTTCTGGTGACACCTCAGGAAAGCTACACGGGGGATAACCTAGCGAAAGTCTCCACACTTAGGTTTCCTTTTGTTTTCTTTCATCTTATAAGCTCTTCCACTGAGTGGCTTTTTGTCAACTTAAAAAAAAAAGAAGTCAACTCCTGCGAAGTAACGGTCCTATTGTTCAGGTCTGTGCAGACTCCAGTGCCCCCTCATATATGCTCAAATGTCAAGGGCATCCCGGGGCTGGAGGGATCAGGCAGACTATGGAGGGGCTGGCTGTCAAGAGTGGCAGGTTTGAGGGGGGTCAGGGGGAGGGTGTGGGTGACTGCCAGGACACCGAGCCCCAGGGCTGACCTGGAACACAGAGAGTTCCTGGACTCCAGGTCAGCTCACCATCTCCAGTCACTTGGAAGGTGCCTGCTGACCCAGCCTTCTGCCTCGATGGACTTCTGGGTTCTCGGTGTCAGAGAACAGCCAGCGCCAGGACTTGAGCACGTCATACAAATAGAGGTGAGGGAAGAAGTCTCTAGTGGAGAGCTGCCAGTCCGGGCGTGGCCGATTCCGGCCCTGACCCATCCCGCAGAGCTCCAGAAGCTACTGGGAAGAGGACATCCAGGCTTGTCCGGGAGGCGACAGACAAAGGCGGCATGAGGCAGCCCCCTGGGGTCCTAGACATAAAGAAGCTCCCCATCTCTCTCTCTGCCTGACAGCTTGGCCAAGGTGTGTGCTGAAGCCAGTGTGATCTCGGGAGCTGGGCCTCTGCGCTGCCTGCCCACATCCCAGAGTGGAAGGAGAGCAGGATGCATGGCCCTTGGCTCTAACTGAACCAAGACAGCCAGAAAGAAAGGGAGCATTTACTTCCTATCTCTTCTGAGTGGGGCAAGGGTCTTAGCAAACTACAATAGGGATTAAATCCTTTTTTTTTTTTTTTTTTTAATTTTTATTTCTGAGAGAGAGTGTGAGCAGGGGAGGGTCAGAGAGAGAGAGAGAGGGAATCTGAAACAGCCTTCAGGCTGTGAGCTATTTGTCAGCACAGAGCCCGATGTGGGGCTCGAACCCACGAACCATGAGATCATGACCTGAGCCGAAGTCAGACGCTTAACCAACTGAACCACCTAGGTGCCCCCAATAGGGATTAATTCTAGTTTAGCTTCATACTTCGTACTTCCTCTGATTACCCAGCCAATGCTGACCACTTTCCCCCTGGACTCTCAACACTTCTACCATGGTTCTCACGTGCTGCTTCTACACACTTCTCCAGGGTGGAGCCTCTCCACCCAGACCATGTCTGATTCTACAACATCCTGTTCAACTTAGGTGTTGGAATAAATACTGGATTTTCAGGGTTAAACAGCACTGGTGGGGGGGTGGGGGCTATGAGTTGTTGAAGATGTGGCTCACATCTCTGAAGGCAGATGGGAAAATAGATTTCTTTATCGTACCTGGGCAGCTGTCGTGATAACAGCTAACAATGCTAGGTGCCAGGTGTTGGTCTAACTGCTTTTGTGGGCCATGATGTTTAATCTTTGCACCAACCCTGAAAAGGGGACGCTCCTATGATCCCCATTTCATAGGTGAGGATATTGAGGCCCAAGGAGGTGATGTTGCTTTCCACAGATTACACATGCAGCTGGTAAGGGACTGTGTCAAAATTCAAATACATGTCTGCCTGGCCTGAAATTCCCCCTTAACTCCTGAGCCAAATACTGTGTGTGGTGGCAAGTGTCTATACTTTGGCCTTTGAATGAGCACAGGTGCCCCTGTGGATGGAAATAATAAGGGGAGGGTCTGGAGGGTGGACAGAATTCAGGTAAGCAAAGAAGAGATGCAGCCCAGGTGAGAACAAGAACTTGCATAGAACTGTGGGGCTGAAATCACTCACGCACCTGCCGGTTAGTGACTTTTAGTCTGTGCTTGTCCCCTGACCTTGAACTCAAGGTGCATGAAGGTCTGTCTCCCGGTGCAGGAAGAAGTCCTTTTTCCCTCCCTCCTGTTCCATTTCTTTGCCCGCATGGCCATGTACGGGTTGTCTTACTGTCTTGCAGCTTTGATCCGAAGAGAGCAGTGCAGCAGCTCCGGGCGTGCGGGGTGCTGGAGACCATTCGGATCAGTGCGGCCGGCTACCCTTCCAGGTAATATGCCCGCCAGCCATGTCCTGCGAGGGGGGCGGGCAGGGTGTGGCACCCTAGGAAACCTGTTTACATGCCGTCAGCCAGAGACCCATCCTCCAGAACATTCCCAAACACTGAGGGTCTAATACGCAGGATGCCGGCAGAAGAACGTCACTTTGGCCTGAGAGGTATGGAAGTCAACAGTGCTGGTCTGGGCATCGAGCTCGCTACGGTTGCAAAGGGGATTGATTTCTCCTTTCCTTCCACCTTGTTCCCTTTACTACTATTTTTTTTTTTTTTTACTGTGATAAAATGCACCTATTTATTGGCCGAATCATTTTGAAGTGTAAAATTCAGTGATGGTAAGTAAATTCATATTTATGCCATCATCTCCAGAGTTCTCATCTTGCAAAACTAAAGCTCTGTCCCTGCTGAACACTAAATCCCATTCCCTCCACCCTCCCACGGCTGGCAGCCACCATTCTACTTTATCTCTATGGTTTTGACGACTCCGTGTTCTTCATGTAACTGCAGTCCTACAGTGGTGGTGACTGGCTTATTTCATGTAGTCTGATGTCTTTAAGGTTCACCCTGGTAGATGTGTCAAAATTCCCTCCCTCTTTATGGCTGAATAGCACTCCGTTGTATGTACAGACCATATTTTGTCCATCCATTTGTCAATGGACCCCTTTACCTTTTAAAATAGAATCCAATCTATGATGGAGGATATAATTTTCAGTTCAAACCACTATCAAGATCTAACTTGCATTGTAAGTGATTGAGCCACCTCATGTCTGCTGAAGCTGTGTGGAGACTGGACCCTTCCTAGATGCTCGCCTGAAGTAGGAGCAGGGTGTGGACGGCAGCCATCATGAGGCCACACCGTGTCCCGGTGTCCCAGAGGCCAGATGTTTTCTGCCATGAAATGGAGCTGAGCTGCACAGGGGCAGGGTAGCATCCCAGAGCCTGCAGTGGTTTCCACAGGAACCCCCATCCAAAGAAGTCCCATATGTGTCAGGAGGCAGAGGGAGCCAGGAAAGGGGGGAAGACATGTATCCAGGCCTCCCCTCCTCCCTGCAACCTCCAGCCGGCCCTTGGCCACTTCAGTTGAGGAATCACTTCTTAGTCAGCCGTGAACAATTCCCAAATGTTAGACCCAAGAAGGAAGTTAGTGATGGAATTAGGAGTCTGCATTTGACCCAGAAAGCAAGGAACTGTCACTAATAGGCAACCTCCAGGCAGCTTTTCCAAACCCAGCAGGTTCAGGCATTGTTCACAACAGTCTGCTCTGGCCAGGGTGGAAGCCTGGTAGTATTTTTTTCAACCACCTCTCTCCCTGCTCAGAAGAAAGACCGGGAGTATCCTGGAGCTCCATCTCCTTTTTCAACCCCAGGGTCTGAATGCAAATTGCTGACAACTCCATGATTAATGAGGTGAGCCCGGCTTGCCCTTCTTGGATGAGGGTTCAGCCTGCCCTGCTGTGCCCGGCCTCAGTCTTTTGATTGAGGGAATGGGGCTCAGGACGCGGGTGTAGCAGTTCAGTCTTGAGTCCAAAGAACTGTAGTCTAGCCACCTGGATCAACTTTCAGTGGCTGCTCCAAGCACAGCATTCGGATCAGATGTGGTTCCTACACCTTATGAACGTGGCAAAGACTATAGGGAGCTGCCCAGCCACGGCTCTTCAAAGCGAACTCCACAGGCAGCCAGGCCCCAGCTCCTGCTCTGTTGGCCTCCCTGACAGTCTGCCTTCCTCAGCGTTGCTTGCTATTGCTTCACAGCCCACTAGCAGCTCAGGAGGTCAGTGTGATAGATCATAACCAGCATCTTGTTTATTTAATGAAATAACTGGGGATGGAAAATTCAAGATGGCAATCTGTGGTAGAAAGGGATATTATAGTGTGTCCTTACTTGTGCTTTATATATAGACCTGGGTGTGTCATGATTTAAAAGATACTTTTGGTGATGAGGCTCACAGAAGGAAGTGAACTGCTCAGGATGGCCCTTGGCTGTGGTTGAGTAAAGATACAGGCACGCCTTCCTCTGCCTGTCTACGTGCTGGTTGCTAAGCATCTTCCTGCCCACGTTAGAGTGTTGCCATCCAAACAGGTGTAACAGGAGTGAAGAGTAGAGTAGGGTTTGGTGTCTGCCCCCTGGGGCTGGGCCGAGACCTGAGGCTTGGTGTGAAACTGCACCCTGCCTGGTCCAAATTATAAATAGAAGTCCAGACTGCAGAACTGTGCCTGGAGCCAGAGCCAGAGGAGGCTGGTGGTTGAAGCGTTGGCCTTTGTGGAGTCAGGCCTGGTTTCCATGGTCAGCTCCCATTGTCCTTGGCCAGATAACCTCAAGCAAGTAGATTAATCTCTGAGCCTGCGTTCCCTGATCACTAAGTATTTACATCATCAGTGTTTGTAATGAATGACATGATGCCTCTCCAGTCCTCCACACGATGCTGGGTGCTTAAACATTTAATAACACTTTTATCACTCCTTGAGATATGAGCAAGGAACTACATGCTTACGGGTGCAATTATCTGGGTAAAACAGGCCTATGCCGGAAATACTGAGCCCTGTCTTTGAAATCCCAAAGTGTCTGGTCACCTCGAAAGAGCTTTGCAGAGTTCTTGAAGAAATTGAAAAGATCAGTCTAAGAATTCTCTAAAGTGTGTCCCCTGTGACACTGTTGAGGGTCCTTGTACAAGAAACTTAGGGACCATGGGTTGTCACTGCCGCACCCATACGGTGCAGCACAGTGGCCTCCAGGGGAGCCCAGAAGCCCCGGCACCCATCTTTGTTCCTAACACATAACAGTGCTGCTGGAGGACTTGCCTGGGAGGCTGAACACGGGGACCATACCAAGCCCGGGAAGACAGAACCAGGGACATGTGTGAAAGTGAGCTACTCAAGGGCAGGTGGAACCGTGGGGATCCGTCTCCGTATGTAAGGAGCCAAGAACTTTTTTTTTTTATGTTTTTGCCAAGAACTTTCTAACACAGTGTGTTGTTTGGTTGTGAACCTCTTGGAGAACGTCCAGGAGGGAGCTAGAAGTCTGGGTCTGATGTGGTCAGCTCTAGACCGTGCTTCAGGCCGAGGTCCTGCCACCTCGGCTTCCCCCACGTGCCTGCTCGCAGCCTCGCTGTGAAATGAGAGCGACAGCGTGCGCCCCCCGCACTCCTGGTTGGCTGCTGCAGCACAGAATCCTCTGTTCTCAGAGCTGGAAGAGGAAGCAGGGGGAGATTCGGCTCCAGAGGCCTTGCGTCAGTGGGGGAACCAGGGGAGGGTGCTGCCAGCCGAGAAACGGCGCCGTGTCCAGGACAGAAGGGATGATCACATCCCCTGCGCAGTGATCTGGGAAGACACCTGCTCTGCCAGTCAGTCCTCCGTCCTCCTTCCTGCTCAACCTTCCATTCTTAGCATCCCAGATAGGCTTTTCTCCTCATCCAGACAACCTCTTCCTTGGCAGCTGAGAGCGTGCATCACCTGCAAGTGTTTGGACCCAAGTGGAAAACGGCATCTCCTGCTGTTCGTTCCACCTGGCTGCCATCAGAGGTGGCCGTGAAGTTGAGATGCCTGCAGACTTGCCTCTGAGTGGGCCGCTGGCGAGTGTCTTTCCCTGCCTGCCTGATGGCTCTGCACCTCTCTCAAGGGGGTGATCGCGAGGGGCATCTGTACCTCTTGCTTTCATAATCGCAAGTATTGTGGAGAGTGTAGGGAAGGAAGGAAAGACTGGGATTTTCCGGTGTCACAAAAAATGTTACATACTGCTGTGATTTAAACATTTGGGCTTAGACCCAGAAAGCTGCCTTACCTTTGCTGTCTTAGCAGATTTTGCTGAAGGCTCAAAGGATTCCCTCCTCAAACCGCCATTCAAAATATTAGCTTTTGGAAAGAGGCCACCATAGTTTTTTGGCCCTTTTGTTAGTGCTGGTGTAGAGCTGAATCAAGCCTCTTGCTCCATTTAGATCCTAACCCCATTTCCCCAGCCACAGTGCCCAGGGTGCCCTTTCTTTGAAAGCTGAAGGTGGGGAGAGGGCTGCGGGGCAAAGCTACCACACTTATACCCTCCTGACTCCACCCATTGCCTGTTCTGCATCTGCCAATCAGGGTAACCATTTGGAGCCACCTCACTGCTTAAACAAAACCCTTCCTGCTTCATCCAGGAGATAGGCATGTCTGGGGGTCAAGTAAGTGAGGGGTTCCAGCTCCTGGGCACCCATTGAGGGGTTAGCTTTGGAAGGAAGTACCATGGACTCGTTTGTGTTACCTTGGAATGTAAAGCTGAGGAGTCATTCTGTCACCCGGACGTGGGGAGACCTTTGTGAGCCCAGAGAGACCCAAGTGGATTGGGAGTCATTTCCAAAAGAGCTCACCTCCATGGCGTTAAGACCCAACACAGCAAAGTGACTTCACTTGGTTTAGCTTGTCAGATAACCCCAACTTTGAACAGTTATTTTCACAGAAAACTTCAGTGGCCTCTTTGATGAGGGGAATAAGGACTTGGAACATTTTCCTGTGTGTCTCCAACTTGAGTGATCAAAGGGCACATGCCTCTTTATGGAGAAGAAAATGCTAAGGAGGAAGATGGTACATGCCCTGGGGTCATGTTCGTAATAAAACGTTAAGGGGCCACGTCCCCAGGAGCCCATGAGGAGGGCAGACCTTTTCAGCGAAGACTTCAGTCTACTGGTGCCCTGGGAGCAGGCCACTTAGCCCTATTCTGAAATGGACACGTGTCCTGTGCCCCTAAAGCCCCGAGAGGCTGGATGTGGAGTTGGCAGGCCGGCAGTTGCTCTTGGGAGTGCCCTCGCCCCACCCGCAGGCTCTATTTTACTTGTCTGTCCTTCTCTCTCTGATAATTATGGTGCTTTGGGAGTCTGACTTAAAATGAAAATACATCATTCAATTTGAAATGTGCTGCTGTGGCTAAGAAGTATGTCCGTTATCATGCACATAAAGCATGGTAATAAATGCCCTGTCTGATAAGGAAGGCTTGGCCACCATCACCTGGCTCCCATGCCCCCCTCG